GCAGGGGTGGGCAAAATGCGGCCCGGGGGCCAGATGCAGCCCGCCAGGCCCTTCTATCTGGCCCGCGGGGCCCCTAAACATTTAGAAAATGAATATTAATCTGCCCGGGGCTGCCTGTCAAGCGGCTCTCGATGGCTTGCCGAAACTCAGTAAGTGGCCCTCTGCCCAAAATAATTGCCCGCCCCTGTTTTAGGGAGGCGTACGGTGATCTTTACATAAGGGTAATACTGGAAATACTAAGTGACTGGTTTGGACAGAGAGAACCAGATCTATGTTCCTTAGTAAAAAGTCTTACCCAAACATGATCATTTTCACAAAAAATTGATCCGTCTGCCGATTTTCCTTTCAGAACATGCTGCCCCTTTAAAGGACAGATAACGGGGAACTTTACGGGTGCCATCCATTCCAGCTGCCGAGTCCCCAGACTGAAATGTTATTACTGCAAAATACTTGATTGTTTCCCTTTGGTCTCGAACGGATTACAACAGGCAAATAAAGGATCGCTATCCCAAGTCATTCTGTAAACACGCGAGACACTGACCCAACTCTCGCGCCCCGTTTCAAGTCCGGGCGCCGCGGGTCGTGTCAAGCAGCGAGACGGACGGCGCATCTCGTTCCGCTCGAAGCGCACCGCGTCTACGGACAAGCCGGGGACTAAGGGACTCGATCAGAAACTGCAGCGCCGAACCTCTCGGGACCGCACGGCTGCCCACCGGCAGCGCTGCGTCTCCCTGCCCTCCCGCTTTCATGCCAGTACTGACAAGGTAGGGACGCGCCCACGGAGGTGGGGGACTCACCCTCCATCCTCGCAGGTGTGCGAGACCCGGGCGGACAACGCCCTGGCTGGGAGGATGGAGTTGGGGCCGGGCCTGCCCCCCTCCCCGGCTGCATCTCTAGGACAGCAAGACGTCTCCCACCATCTTGTCGGGATCGGAGCGACGAGCGCAGACGGCGGACGCGGGCACGTGCCCGACAACACGGCTCTGCTCTGCGCTCGCGCCCCGGCAGCGCGCGGAGGGAGGGGAGGGGAGGGGAGCCCGCGCCGCGCCGCGCCGCGGGACCGGGCAGGTTGCGGGTGGCAGCCAGGCGGGGAGGGGAGGGGAGGG